ATTGCAAAGTTTTCAATTTAACTTAACTTGGAATAGATATAATTAATCTGAAAAATATATGGGCAAAATAGATATTCAATATACAATAATATTTACTTGATTGATGCAAGATCGGATCCTGTCAAATATGTGGTGTAAGTAAGTGCACTGGGAATTGAAGCTTGTCATTGAAATTGATAATGACGAACATTGAATAAAAATAAAATAGAAAAAAAGAAAAATAACGTGGAGACTTATTTCATAAAAATAATATCAAAAATTGATGCAGATAATTCCATATTAACTGAAAATATCAAAATCATATCGATTAAGTTATTACATTTTTATTATATTTTATAGAAAATTATATAAAAAATTGATAAAAAAAAGGAATTTGATTTCAATTTTTAATATTGTTACTTATATTATTATATTTATATTTTTTTATTCTACAATGATAATTTAATTATTTAAAATGAAAATAGAATACATAAAATAGAAAAATCATATCTTAGAAATTAAATATTTCATATTTATATTCGAAAGGTTAGATATTTTTAGGATTGTGAATATAGAATGTTCTAAGTTTTTCAATAAAAAATTTTGTCAATAAGTTTTTGAAAAAATAAAATTTTAGATATATAAATAAATAGGATAAAAATATATAATAGGATAAAAAGAAAACAAAAATAAAAAAAAAGATTAAAATGTAAGAAAATGTCATATAACGAAATATCTATGAATATTTCATTAAAATATTGAAGATATCAAAAGTATGAAATATATATCTATATCTATATTTTTATTTCAAAATATGGTACCTCGTTTTTATAAATATATATCTGATATCAATTTATTATTGATATCAGATTCATTATGTTATAATTTTATCTAATTTCTTTATACGATTCTTATACACTTCAAATTGTAATATAATTTGCTATTGTAATGAATCAGTACACGAATATAATAAATACATATATCTATTTCAACAGATAAAATAAATATTACATATCTTGTCTCGCCTTCTATTAAATTCACAAGAGAATTAATATTGTTGTTTTGTACAATTTCCTATATTTTCGATATCTTTTAATAAAACATTATAAACTTCTTCTTATGTGACATTTTAATCTTACCGACTTATCTATAGAACGTAATGATATAATCTAATTAAAATTTGTATGAAAAAATCTTAGATACATAATATAGTATTTATTGTTTATTTTGAGAAAATGATTAATAGGAAATTTTTGAGAATTAAAGAAAATAAATAAATATCTATAATGTGAAATATTACATAAAAATATTATATACAATTTTATGTTTTTATAATGTTTTATAGCAGACTTTATATTCATAGATGAATATAAAGTATTTCGAAACTTAATTTCAATAGATATTTGAAACTTTGTTTTCAATGATTGACACGTTCATTGTATATATTTCGGATCCGAGACAGCACGTACATACTTATATATTATAAATATATATCGAATATAAACCGAAAGTTGAAAGTTATCAAATTTTAAAAAAGATTTTTTATAATTATATTATTTATATATTTCATAGACAACATATGATTTATTAAAATAAAAAATAAACTATAAATTAACAATAAGTATTTAATAATATATAATGATAAAATATATAATAATATTTATTAATACGATAATAATAAATATTTAAATTATTTATAAATGATATTATAATGTACAAATCTAATTAGTGAATATTTTAATTTTATTATTAATTAAAAATATAATAACTCTTCAACTGTTTGTTTTGATATTTTAAAATAATTTCAAAATAGATGAATAGTAATTTTATTAGAACTATATTATAATTAATAATCTGAATACATTACTTTAATTGAAAAATAACAATTCTTTTATTAAATTATTCGATTATTTTTTTATATTTTTATTGCTATATAAAATAGAAGAATAATTAAATAATAAGCAAAATCTGTATTTCTTAAAACGAATGTCAATCATGTATTTTCAATATATTATGTAACATTCTTTATTTTCAATCTTAACATTAAAATTTTCTTTTAAATATTTTCAATATTTGCATATTAGTTAAACCTTTGCTTAAATTGACATATAAGATTCAAATGTATATTATGAAAAGCAAGTTTCTATTTATTGATTTATATTTACAATTATCGTCTTAATTTAATTCTTAATTTCATTTATTTCTTTCCGTTATTCTATTTTCATTTTATTTCTTTCCGTTATTTTCTATGTTATTATTTTTATATTACATATAGTTTTATTATTATACAAAGCAGAACTTTTAAGATACCTATAAATATCCTATATAGTATCTCAAATATTTCTATAAAAGTCATTAGCATATTTAGTGAATAAAAATAAGAAAAAAAATGTTACATAAAAAAACTTTTTCTTATATAAAAATTATAAAATATAAAATACGATAATAGATTTGTTGTTTGATATAGGAATATATTGTCAATATATTTACGTAAACATTATATTTACTTGTTTAAATCATTAAATAATTAATACGATTTGTATTGAAACTATATCTATACAATAATGAAAAAAAATTGATTTATATATAATATATAATATTAAACAAGAAATTAATTCATTATTATTTTCTTTTTGTTAAAACATTCTAATATAATAATTAATATTTTTTTATAATTTTAATACAATAATTGTTTTTGTTTTTCTTTCTTTTTTATTTTTACTCATAGAATATGATGAAACTTTTTTGTTAACTTTAAAAAAAATTAAAAAAATATATCTTATTAATAAAATTTATAATAAAATATTTAAAAACAACAAATACTTTTAAAAAATATGATTTAAAGATAAAATTTTAAGTTTGCTCTTCTGTATATTTCTCTTAACATTTAAAAATATTTTTATATTTTTTAATTTTCTAAAAAATTTGCATGAACAATAAACTTAATTCAATTTCAATATATTTTTAAAACAAATGTTAATTTCTTTCAACTTTCAATTTAAATTAGATATAAAAACATTAAAGGAAGAAGTTCAAAGATATTGTTGAATCTCCTGTGATTGTTGAAATCTCGTCTGCCGATGCTATGACAAGTATGCATATTTTAGAAATATTTATTTTAGAATAGAAAATAGAAAATCTATTTATTTAGTAATTAATATATTAATCTATATCTAATATATAAATCATCTATTTCTTTATAATTTTATTTTCTAAAATTCTATAAATTAAAGAAGAAAATAATAGTAAATAAAATAAATATATATTATAAATAAATATAAATGAATAATATTAATAGTCATTTTCTTGGTAAAGAAATTTTCTAAGTAAAAACTAAATTAATATTTTTTTTTCTAAATTTTAATAATTTCCAATTACAAAATTAGCAAAAAACTTTGAAGTTTGAAAAATTGAAATTTTATATTAATTATAATATTAATATAAAAATAAATATTAATATAATATTAATACAATATATTCTATTAAAAATTACTGAATTATTTTAATTTTGTTTATATTTGCTAAATATTATTAAATATTAAATATTAATATTAAATATTTTAAAAATTATTTAATTTATTCTTTTATATATGTTGAAAAGTCATGGCATTTAATTTACAAGATTTTAATTATAGATTTTTATAATAAAA